CATCTGCTGTAGGAAGTTGTGCACCTACTGTGGGAAGCTGGACATCTACTGTAGGAAGTTGTGCACCTACTGTGGGAAGCTGGACATCCACTGTAGGAAGTTGTGCACCTACTGTGGGAAGCTGGAGATCTACTTTGGGAAGCTGTAAGCCTACTGAGGGAAGCTGCACACCTACTGTATGCTTTGAGGTGGGAACTGTAAGAGTCTGCTTCGGAGTTACCACTGCCTCTGATGCTACCTGCGAGCAGCTTTCTTTTTCTTGGGAGCATAAATTTCTGGCCAATGTGCGAACAGTTGGCAGCTCACAGCAATCGCCATTGAAAAGGTATCCCCGGGTACTCTTCCGGGCTGTTTTCCGAGAAGCCTGCGTGGCTCTCTGACTCTCGGCGTGGCACTCCGTTATCGGCTGACTGATATAAACAACATCACACTGGTTGTCGTAATCGTTGATCCTCAACCCTGATGCCCTCTTACTTTTCCGAGCAGTCTTGATGGAGGGCGACATCATCTTGGCTTGTGAGTGACCGTTGGATGCTTTGTGTACAGCTGGCATGGGGCTGGAAGCTAACCAACCACTTTTGGAATGATCAAAATGGCCCTTGTCTCTGGGGTACGTCTGGAAACCCGCCATGTTTCGACCTAGTGAATGAAGATGGTTCTCTTGCTTTGGCCTTGCATCTTGCTCATCTGTCTCTAAATCCTGGTGTAAGGATGTTTTTGAGCTACACTGTAAAGCATTCTCTTTGTCTGCAGTACTAGATGAGTTTCCCATAAACCCTGAGTCCCATGTCTCGTCTGATAAAGCTTTGAATGAGTTTCTTTGAGCAACAATACAGCTACCACCCTCTTCAGTATTCTCAGCCACCACCTCCACTGCAGCCAGACTTTGGACTGATGCTGGGGCACTGTCTTCAGCATCCTCACAGGGTTTCATGCTTGTGTCTTGCTCCTGGCCAGTGGTTTGCCCCTCTAAGTTTTTAGAACCATGGGGAGAGTTAGAAGAGGAAGAACCCAATGTACTGAGGCATCCTATGGTGGAACTGTCTGTAGAACCTGTGAGGTTATGTTGAGCGTCTGGAGGTTCAGAGGAATCTTTCTGGACAGTGCTTAGGGCATTCTCTCTCCCATCTACACAGTCTGTCTCAGAAGGTGGTTCCTTCATGGTTTCCTCAGTCACATTCAGGGAGCCAGGAGAACCTGATGAGTCTAAGAACAACTTTACAGAAGCAGGAGAACCCCCCTCGGGACATGCATCATCCTTTTCATTTTCTCTGCCACTCAGCTGGGCACAACTGGAATCGCAAGCAGAGACATCCATCACTGTGGAATCCAGAGGCTGCAGGTCCTCAGAACCTGGCTGAGATTCAGTGTACAGGTCACTCAGGACACGGATAAATTGCTTCTGATGATGAATGCACAGCTTGACCATAAACTTCTCCAGTGGAGCCTTTGACTGGTGGTTAGAATCAACAACGGGTGCTTCTGTTGAATCCTCTCTAGACAAAGACAGAAAAAAGAAGAAATTAGTATGTGCATTTCCAACGAACTGTTTCTATAGTGTGAACTGAACTGTATCAGATGCTATTTATATTGTAAAGAGAGGGCATTCTGGTGAAAACTGTCATTTACTTTCAAGTCTGTTGTATACATTAGTTCAACAAAGAATATATAATTAGATTGCAAAGCCAGCCTATCATATTCTCAAAAATTTGGTATCTCTCATATGTTTTTATGTTTATGGTGCTAGGAAATCAAAAAGGGCCTGGCACAGGCTAGGGAAGTACACTACCACTGAGCTACATTCCAAACCCTACTTCAAACTTTTTACACTTAAAAAATTCAGAAATAACTATCTTAGAGGAAACACTGAAAATCAAATTTTGTCACATTATTAACTCCGTATGATCAATATGGAGTAATCCTTATCCAAAAATCTGTAATGCTCCAAAACGTGAACCTTTTCATGTGCTAGCATGGGGGCACAAGTAGAAAATGACAAAGCAGGCCACTGTTAGGTCCAAGCTACTGAAGACACTGTGTAAGATCACTTTTAGGCTGTATGGACACAGTGGGCCTGGACCATAAATGACTTCTGACATTAGACCTGGGCCTCATTCCTGAGATAGAGACATCACTCAATATATGCAAACATTCCAAAATCTGAAGAAAGCCAAAATTCAAAACATGTCTTCTCCCAAGGATTTTGGATAAGGGGTGTTCAACCTGTCCTTTAGTTTAGGCCCAGGCAACTGTGCTAAAACCACCACTAGTTTCAGTTTATAACATGATGTAAATTCACACATACTCCATTCATTGCCAGACATCAGACATCAACTTAGAAGGACTCAAAGAACTCAATGGCTTTAACACAATTCCTCAGAAAGAACAATTGGCTGGAGAACCACCAATGGGGCTCCAGAACAGGACACAAACGGAAAGAATTCTCACAGTGGCGGGCTATCAGCTTCGATCCGTGCAAGGCAGAAACATCTCACACTGGCCCACCACGAGCTCCCCTGGAATATTTCCAGGAAACATCTCACAGTTACGGAAGCTGCTCTACATGAAAGCTATCTCCACATTGTGAAGCTTTGTTGGAGTTTAAGTCACAAAGTCAAGGGGTGGGAGAGGCCATACTAAATCCAAGGCAGACCACAAGCACTGCCTGCGGCGATGCCATCGGTTGCTTTGTCCTTCTAGATGCATTCACCGAGCCGACGTGTAAAGAGCCCAGAGTTTGATACAACTTCTCACATACACACTCTTCTTGGCCCCTCTGGTTTATAGACCTTTAGGAGACTATGATTTGATGGTATGTGAAACATGACAGAACACAGACGATAGCTTCATGTGTGCTGAGCAAGTATTGATACGTCTTCTGGCTTACTCTTCCATCTTTGACTTTTCCCTCATGGCCAGGACAGGTCTTTATAGAAAGGTTTGCCACAGATGGCCCGTGTCACCTGCCTTTCCACCTCCCACTGGTAGTAGAGTGATAGTAAAGGGCACAAGAACTGGAAAAGGAGACATCTGATTCGACTCCCATTCTGACATGTATAGGATAACCAGAAAGTTAACCAATCTCTCGGAACCTTAGTTTGACCTGTACACTGGGACTGAACGGCAATATATTGACAGTCTGCAGAAAAGCAGGGCTTAAAACAGTTTTGGTTTCTGTGTTTCTCATGTGGAAGGTTTTTGTTTTCTGAGACAGAGTGTCGCTGTGTAGTCCTGGCTAGGCTGAACTTGTGTCAGTCCTCTCTGATCCGCCTGCTTCTGCCTTTTTAAAAAAACTTGATTCTTTGTGAATTTCACACCATACACTCCAATCCCACCCATCTCTCTGTCTCTTTGTATCTATCGTCTATCCTTGCAACCTCCCCTTCCCCAAGAAAACAACAACAAAAATCTCATTGCAGAAGCTGCAGTGTGTCACAGTGTGTCCCATAGTACATCCTGTCTACACATCTCTACTTGTAAATGTTCATTGCTGTGAGTCCTTGGTCTGGTTCAAGACCTCTGCCTTCTGCTACACTATCAATACTCCATCCTTACCAGGCTCCTCTCGGGTACCTTGTTGTTTGTGTCAGGGAGATCCTGCAGCTTTGGATCTGCAGGGCTGACCCCTTCACATGCTTCAGCAATTCATAGCTGGGGATGCTGAAGTGGGCCAACTCAAAGCCCTGGAGCTGGGCCTAGGTGGCAGCTGTGTTGGTCAGCCCACTAGCTCTCCCTCATCCACACCACCAGGGTGAGCTTTGTGGCACTGCTCCAGCTAGCTCACCCAATGCCGCAGCAGCAAGGCTGCCTCTGCCTCTAATGTGCTTGGATTATGGATGTGGGAGCACACTCCGGCAAAGGCAGTCAAGGTTTTTGTTTCTCAGAGTGACTGGAAACTTTCTGTATACCTGAGGCTAACCTTGAGTATTACTCATTTTCCAGCGCCCGTCCTCCAAGAATTAGGATTACAGTTATGCTCCAGCCCAGCCAGCTAAACTTTTAATTACGTTTCTATCATATATGTGTGTATACACTCTCATGTGTACAGGTGTCACAGCATACAGAGAGAAGTCAGAGGGCAGATTTTGTATGTTTTGTCCTTCCAAACATGTGGGTCCCTGGGATTAAACTCGGGTCATCAGGCTGGGTGGCAAACACTTAGATACACTGAGCTATCCTGCCAGCCCCTGAAGTTTTAAAAACATTTTGGTGTAATTCTTTACAGAATCACATCGTCACTTAACACATCTCTTTCTCTCCACTCTGCCCTTCTTTCTTGAGACAGGACCTTTTCTGAGAGTCAGTGTTCATTCCCATCAGGACACAGAAGATGAGAGACAATAGCTGTCAGGGATGGGAAATGATGTGTTCTTAGTGCAGATGATTTGAACCTGGCGTATTCTGCAGGCAATCTGGATGCATAGGCAGGAGCCCGGCAGTCAGTAGCATTCTTGGGGCTGTGAGACTGCACATTAACACTGACCTTTGCCCAGCTATTATCATTAAACAGCAAACTTTACAATTACAGCCATAAAACTACTTTTGGCTGTGACTCCAAATTACTACTTACTCCCCCGACTCAAAAACGTTTTAAAGAGAAACCTAATTTAGATGATTTTTAATTTCTTACCATTCAGCTATTTAATGTTTAGAGTTAACCTCAACTTCCTAGTATGTAATTATATTGTTGCATTTTTCATGTTTGGCTTTAAAAAATGGTGTCAGTCAGATTTAAATGGGTAAGACCTATTTTTGCTTGGCACGAGTTTCCCTGTGTCTTTGACAGAGCGCAAATACAGCACTAGCACTAACTTTGGTTACTCCTAGGCAATTTGCTAATTGAACAGGGCAGAGATTCTGTCTTGCGGAGAATCTCCTCACTCTGACTCTGGAAGAGCCTGGCATTTTAGCTCAGTGATTAGTCTATATCATATATGTTCTGGACACCCGACTAAATAGAATTTTTACAAGAAAATATATTGCAGACTTTGCAATCTTCTGTCTGACTTCATGTTATGGTGAAATCACATTATATCTGCTTAACAGGAGGCCTCCCTGGAATAGGTAAGTGAATCATTTAGCAAGCAGAATACCACCACCAAAGCACAGTAAGATCACAGGGATTGGTAAACTGGAGAGAGGCTATAAAAGAAGAGGGGAGCCTGACTTGCAGCTCCTGGAATTGGTCCTGGGTTTATCTCCTTGATGAGAAATGATCTATGTGACCTTGATCACAGTCTTTCTACCTTTAGCTCAATGCCTAATTCAGAAGGGTGTGGTAAAGGATAAGATAATATTCATAAAAACTGTAAAAGGCACAGCTTAAAAGCAATGTGTTGCTTCACAACCCCATCTTTAATGATTTACTCAATGTTTTTCCAGATCAGAGGTTAGGCATAGCTGAACTCTATTTAGTCAATACTGCAATACTTACATTCCTGTGGCTAATATAAATGGTGGCCAGTCATTGCTCATGTTATTTTCCACTAAAAACAAAAAACCAACCAAACAAAACAAAACAAAAAAACCCAACCCCGATCAAAATGCAGCAGGAAGCTAAATGTCAAGTGTAAGAATGTAGAATCTAGGAGTAATAGACCCAGGCCCTTTCTCCAGCAGCTAGTGTATAACTGCCCACAGACTGCTGCCCAGGTAAATCAGGACCACTGACAACCAAAATACGATTTTCTTGAAAGAACAAGACCAACAGTAAGCACATGGTAGCTAATGTTAGGAGCAGCAAAAGTTAGTTTATGACTATAGAGGAGAAGGAAGGCTTTAGACAAAGCAGACTACGGCTAGAGTATTCAATTTGGGTTGTTTCTTTAAACAAAACATAAAAACGAATGCTTAGTCCCCTATCAAGGTGTATGAGTTGTACATTTGCTAGGTGGTAACTGGAAAGAATCACTCCTGGTCTGGATCTTTTTTAGGATATAGTGATTCTGCTGACAGGTTGGGGGGCTGGGAGCAATAGAGAGGGGGTTAGGAGGGTATGAATGATCTGAGAGGGGAGATAGGAAGGGCGGCTCTTAGGGGAGGGAGGCAAACGCAGAGGGAGAAGGGTAAAGCAATCAGGATGCCTGAAAAAATTGCAAGAAATTTATCTTTAAAAAACCCTATAATATACACAATTTTATACATATATAATATTAATGAACTCTTCTCACTGGGTTAATGGTGCTTCCTATAAGAGCCAAGGACCACCTTTTTAAAAAAAAACAAACCACAATACCCATGAGAATCCCTCTTTTGAATAGTTGGCTAGGGCTGTCCAGGAGACTCCCAAATCATACAGCCTATTGCTGCTGTCCTTGGTTGCTTCCCTGAGCAAGTCCTAATTGCTGAAGAAACCATGTACCTCAGGAACAGGTCCCAGAGACCCCTGAGCTGTGATGGGCCTGAGTGTCCTTTCCCTAGGGACAAGTTTCATAGCACCCGAAGGAAAGCATTATCTCCTCACGATTATCTTGAATTTATCAATCTGTCATCTCTA